TGGGGTTGAAGGCAGCTGCTGGGGAGTCCCTAAGCCAGGCGACCCTCGCAGCACCACAAAATGTCACCCGCAGCTGCAGGACTTGAAGGAGAGGAAGGGAAAAAGCCTGGTAGGATGGCAGCAGTGCCGTTGTGCTGGCTGTTTCTTAGGGGAATCATGCAGGGGCTTGTTCCTTGTACGGGTGGGAAGTGCTTCTCCCCTGCCCCGGTGAGATCCGGCAGATAAACCACCCTCCGTCCTCGGCGAAGATCAGCCTTTCCACGAAAAAAAGATAATACCCACAGCAGTTGCTGTCGGATGCTCGCAAACGAAGACTTGCTTTCCTGGCAACAGAAGCTGCGCAGGACGAAACAGAAAGTAAGATGGATTTAAGGAAAAGAAGGTTTTTTTTGACTAAAGGTACCGAGGTCTGAAGTCGTTCGCAGGATTGAGGCTTGGGGCGCAAAAGGAAGCGGGGAGGGAGGGAGAGGGGGTGGCCCCGCTGTTTCAGGGGGTGGGTTGGCTCGGGAGAGCCCGTCTCGGTCTGCAAAGCGACGAGAAGCGACTGGCTGACGGCAGCCAGAGTTTGAAAGGCAGCAAAGGGGAAGAGCAGGCTCTCCTACAAGAGGGAAGGAGACAGAAGACACGGGGGCTTCCCACAAACATGGCTCCACGGGCCATCAACACCCCCAGTTTCAGCATCCTCCACCTACAGAAACCGGGACTGGATTCAGGTCTTGGGTCTCAAAAATACAGGGGGAAGAGGGCAGGAAAAACTCCTACCGCTGAGATAAATCCCTCCGAGCCGTGGCTTCAGCCCCCCAAAATAAAACATCAGGGAGGAACGGCTGGTTTATCTACTCCTGGAGTCCTCAACCTCAAGGGAGGATCAGTTGCCGCCTGCAGCGCTTTCAACCCTCCCAGCTGTGCCTGGAGACACTAATTATATTAAAGTAATTAGCATCAGCCGGAACTAAAGCATCAATTCGTAACCTGCAAGGCAGGTCTCACTGGCCTGGCTGAGTTAATGTTCACGGTCCCTGGAAACCGCCACGCTCCCGGCTTTCCCTTCTCCATGAGCTGACTCCTCTCGACTGAGGTGGCAAGACCCGAACCGGCTGGGTTGGCAAATGGAGATGGGGTGGGAGAGGCGCAGAGCCCGCGGGAGCGGCGGC